CTGGGCATGTGCCCTGACCAGGAATTGAATCCTTCACCTTTTGCTGCACGATGCTCCAACCAACTGAGCCACATTGGCCAGGGCACTTAGCAAAATACTTTTAAGGTTTCTGCATGTTGTGGCATATATCAGTATTCCATTCCTTTTAATGTTCCTCACAATGGCTCTCCCTTCTGTGGTCTCTCTTTTGTGAACTAAAATAGAGACTAATAAAAAGAATGGAATTATTACTATGGCTAAAAAACTGCCTGTATTAAGCAGATTGCATGAGGAGAAGTGAAAATAAATGACTTTCAGGCTAATGTTAGAAAAAGGTTCTCTCTGTGATAATTGTATTTTAATGCAGTTTTATTTTATTTTTCAGCTTTCTAACTTTCTAGCTTTTTTTGTGTTTTTTGGTCTTACTGTGACTGTGGATTGTGACTATTGCTTTAAACTCTAGATCAGCGATTCTCAACCTGTGGGTTGCGACACCTTTGGCGGTCGAACGACCCTTTCACAGGGGTCGCCTAAGACCATCCTGCATATCAGATATTTCAAGTACAATTCATAACAATAGCAACCAAACAGTTATGAAGTAGCAACGAAAATAATTTTATGGATGGGTCACAACATGAGGGCCAGAAGGTTGAGAACCACTTCTCTAGATTGAGGCCTTGGGAATTACCATTTACATTTTATTAATTTTTTATTTGCATAATAACATTCTAGAACAGGGGTGGGCAAACTTTGTGACTCGAGGGCCACAATGGGTTCTTAAACTGGACCGGAGGGCCGGAACAAATGCATGGACGGAGTGTTTGTGTGAACTAATATAAATTCAAAGTAAACATCATTACATAAAAGGGTTTGGGGGGCCGGATCTGGCCCGCGGGCCGTAGTTTGCCCACGGCTGTTCTAGAAGATTCCGTGCATGGTTGGAAAGTTAGGAAAATGCAGAATTGTTCCATTTACCAGAATACTTAAGTTGCACATTGAATGAATTATTTAAATTAATTAATTAGTATTTATTAGTTTCAAATTTTCTAAGTTTTTTAGGTGAATTAACTTATAAAAAATTCATGATAACTTTGTCAGGTGCTAGCAGTTACCTTCATTTTATAGATAAATAAGTAGAGCTACATAGAAATTGGTTATGTTGCCCAAGGTCACACAGGTATGTAAGTAACAGAGCTGGGATTTGAACCTAGGCAGTCTTACTCCAATTATAGTGTTATCCTAAAATGCTGGTTGCTCACATCTGCAGTTCAGCCACCATGCCTGTCAATTCCTGAGGTGTGTAGAATGTTTTCTGTATATGCAGTGCTCTCACATAGTGTCTCATTTAATATTCTCAGCACTTCCAGGAGCAAGTTGGACTTAAGTATACTTTTTGTTTTGTTTAAAAGTGTATTTCCAGATTTATTGTTTCGATACTTAACATTTGTATTCAAAGTTATATATTAAAGACCTACTAGATACCAGGCACTGCATTAAGTTCTTTGGAGATTTCAAACAAT